CAGCAGATAAATAAATAACTAGGCCTGCACCCCTCACTTTGGATCCCCTCTGTTTTGGCAGGCCATCCACACTGCTTTTTTATCAGGTGTAAAAATGTCTGTCAAATGGCACAGCAAGGGGCCTCGGCATTTTGGCATTCATGACGCCATGCATGCGGAGCTGCCAGCACTTTCTGTCTGCCCGCCTGACCTTGGCTAGGCTTGACATGAGTGAGCAGACTTTTGCCGCATTTCCACTGCATGATACGGCAACGCTCTATCAACTTAACCCGCACTATGTTGGTTTTCATAAGCAAAAGTTGTGGATAGTTCTTGGTTTATGGTCTTTTTATGGTAGCAAGTGGCCTCTGTCAAAGTTTTAAGTGAGCTGAGCCAATACAAAAAGGTGAGTCAAAGACATTCGCCTTTGTGTGACACGGGACATCCTGCACAAACCCAGCATTTTTAAATAGCAACGCTACCGTTAATAGAGACCTAAAATGTTTGAACTTCCTCGCCCCATTTGTGGCAGTCATACACTTAGCTGTACAATTGATGTTCCTGTCAAGCTGTTGCTATATTTATCAGCTTAGAATTCTATCTACACTGAGGAGTACTATCGGAAACGAAATAGAAAACAGGACCTGATACCAAAAGTGAGTTGAGTCAAGCCGAACAATGCCCTGGCAAAGAGGCATTAGCTTTACCTTCCCCATGTGTAGTGCTCTTCAGGAAGGCAAGTGGGCTTAAGTGGCTGTTAGTCAAACTGCCCCCGAGTTGAAGAATGGACCTCTTCTGGCTTCTGTGCTGACTTGGTGGACGGATAATGGCCATGACATAGCTCGAACAAAGATAGCCAGGCCAGGAAACTCACGCCTGATATCTTCTCATCCTTACATCCCCCAATCATTATTGTCATCTTCTCAGCTGTGAGGACATCATCCAAGAGGCCGGGCCACTGATGTAGAGACAAGAGTGGAGGAATGAGGTCACTCTGATAAGAAGAGGCCTCATGCTTTGGCGTTGTGTCTCCTTTTCATAGCTTCATGGTGTAAGAGCCTGAGTTGGCATTGTGAAACCAACTTTCCGTATCTGACACGTAAGCTAAGATTTAACCGACTGTGGACTCTGCATTATTCCAGGGGCATGCTGTCTCTCTCCGCTCCATATCCACCATCTCACCTCAGGGAACTGTCACTTTTTCATCAGTTAGTTACTGAGGGTTCATACAGCCTCACAGTTGTTTCTCAGACTCCTCCCATCCCTGTATAGAAGAGTATTCTCGAGTAGCTGTCTCCCTCTCTCCCACACTACTGCAGCAGATTCCCTGTTTGACAGTTTTATGCCTGACACCTCGTGTCTAGCAACTGGGAAACCACTATTTTACAGACTCTCAATGTTTGTGCGAGTTGAGATTGGGTTTGTTGTCTTCTCTTGGTTTTTCGCCCTCCTCTCACTATCATGACCGACTCCCACTCTCTTGCCCTTTCTCTTTTGGTGTGAGATAACAGTCCGGGTTGATGAGGGGTCTCTGCTGACTGAAAAAGCAAACGGCCCGTTCCAACCGCCTCGGGATGTGCTGCAGTCATCAGGATCCATTGTGTGAGGCCGTGAACCAGCCTGTCGTAGCCTAACATGCCCATGGCCCTCTGCTAGCAACATAAATCCTTTTCTACTGTTGTTTGTAAAGCCTGATGGGCTAATGTAGGCAATACCAATGTGTCGTTTCTTCCTAACATGCTCCAGAGCCAAGGCTTTTTCCCCTTTCTTTGACGGAACACTCTGACTTGGTACTCAAGGGTAAAAAGCCATTCTCTATTTCCTGCTTCTTTTCTTTCTTTGCCTTCTATTCAGAGACTCTGCTTGCAAAGAAAAGTAATTTCACTCTTTCTGTCCCTGAGAGAATCAACACAGTGAAGTTGCATTGCATTTTTACTGCAACATCTTTTTCTTGGCTCTATTTCAGACCCATAACCTGGGGGTAAACATGCAATTAGAATAACAGCAGCCTGCTTTCTCCTCCACTCTCCTCTGCTTCAGCCGTTAGCACAAGCCATGTACAACATGGTGGCTTGGTTCTCCTAATTGCCTTTGCTTTTAATTGGTATAGAAAAGCTGTTAATATTCAACCAGCAACCAAACATACTTTTCGCCTTGTTTTTTCCCCTTTATTGTTTTTCTCCTCTAATATTGTTGAACTCTGTGCATATCCTTCTAATGAGCTTATTTCTGGAGCACATCCTCGCATTGCCTCATGCGTTACTGCCGGTAGATATTTAAATAGATGATTTCCTATGCTATTACCCTAATGCATTTCCACATTTGAATGCAGATTGTAGGTGATGAGGAGGATATTGATCAAAAGATTCAACTATAAATGAAGTCAGCTGTCTAATCTCCTAAATGGCTTCCGTCTTATCCTCTTTGCAATTTCTTTTTAAACTTCAGATGGCTTTCTTTTTCTCCTTCCCTACAGAGGAATGAAAAGAAAATATAGGTCAGCTTTTATGGGAGCAGTTTGACACATGACACACGCCATGCGCATCACTTACTCAAGTCCTGCTTTGTCTGCCCGCCTTTATTTGTCTATAAAGAGAGCGACACAGTTATTGGCACACTTTTATTACGGTTCTATAAGTAGCTGGTGGAGACTTGCCGAGTCACAGGGGCCCCCCATAATACTCTGAGAACCCTGTGGTGTCTGTCTGCATGGGGCTGATAGTGTGAGACGCCTGGCTAAACTCCACCAGGCCAATCCTGGCTGCACACACTGCAGCTGGCCTCCACAGACGCTACTGTGTTTCCACTGCGGACAGGAGGGGCTGTGTCTGTGTGTCACAAAGGCTACTAAGCCATTGGGTGAGACACCTATTGGCCTGGATGTGTGCATGGCTGGAGGGACAGAAAAAGTCCAGACCAGGCTAAACCCCTGGCATGGTCGCTGTTAGGACTCCAGCGAGCTCCGTCCCTGTCTGGATTCAACACTCTATCAGGTGTAGTCATCCTGCTCCTGATACAAATGGTCTGTGTGTTGGTAAATGCCTCTGTGGGGGCGGGCGTTTTTTGTAAAAAAAGAGCCTCTGTTTGGTGTGTGATGTATATTTCAAGTCGATGTGGCAGCGGTGCTGATAGGCGAGTCAGTCGACGGCAGGCTTTCTGTTCCGTTGGGTTTCATCTCTTCCTGCTCGGCTCTGTAAAGCAGATTGTCAGCTGGGGCATTACCATAGGCTGACCTTTGCCGCTGCGCTCCCCACTGCACAGCTTTCTGACATTCAGGGGCGCTGTGGGGGAGGCAGGAAGGGAGCGGACTGATGGTCTGTTGGCAGTTTTTTTTGCCTGTAGTGCGCTGATTCTATAACAAAATGCAGCGACAAGTATAAGTCTGTGTGGGTTTTTTTTCCCCGACATCATTTCAGTCTCTTGCCACCTTTTGATATTTACTTTCTCTGCACCCCTGCCCTGCCTGTTGTCAAAGAGATTGCTGTTATCCTTGTGTGAAATCTTGGCACCTTGATAAATGAGAGAGAGCTGGAAATCTTGCCTGCTGACATCAGGGCGCTATGTACCTAAAATCCTTTCCAAGGCCGAGGGAAAAGAATAACATATCAGGCCAATTAAAGTTAATGCATGGTGACACGCTGAATCGAGGGCAGGGATTGCTGCCATATGGCGGTCCAGGCTGTAAATCAAAAAGCAGGGGAAAGGGGGGGGGGGGGGGAAGATGAGAGTGGTGGGAGGCTGGGCAACAGAAAAAGGTGACGCAGCATCAACTGCACAAAAAAACACCCTAAATGTTCAGATCTGTCTCAAAGAATACAGCGCTGCCACCCACCATTCTACCCTTTTCTCCCTTCCTCCCCCCTGCCACCCTGCCCCTGCTGCACCCCAAGGTGCAACGCTCACCGGTATCTGTGTAGAACTGGCAGCTTCATTAAGGCTTGTTTTTTTTTTTCGTCCTCTCGCTGGGAGGATTTAAATGAGCTGTCATCCTGACCTTTTTGAGCTCCTGCTTTTTAAAGCAAGTTCAGCCCCCACAACACCCCAGCCCCGCCACCCGTCCTTCTCTCTTTCCACCTTTCTCTCTCACTTTGTCACTCTTTCCTGCTCTTGTCTCTTCTCCCTGCAGGGGGGAAGACACTTTCAAGCCATCACCCTGCGGCAGACAGGCACGCCAAGGTTGTTTTGTGGGTAATTGCCTCTCTCATAGACGCTGTTAGTCTGTGCACACTTTGCCGCCCTCCTCTGATGCTACGCAGCAAAAAAAGAGGGAGGGCGCGGACTCTGTAGACTTAATTTGCTCCCTCACTGTTCTTCGGTGCTGATTAAGCAAAGCATCTGTGGCGTTTGGAATACAGCAGTAAGCCAAGTGGAGCGTGGCTAACGTTTTTCTCCCTATCTATTACATCAGGTTATAGCGCAAAAGTGGCAGGCATTTTTTGGAGTTGCAACCCTGTTTATTCATCTCCTTTCACCACATTGTGAGCCAGCTCCATTGTTTAACTTCCCCTGAAATAAAGGCCTCTTTGAGGTCTACAGGACTTCAATATCGATCCGAGACTCACTAACTTGTCAGCGCCCAGGCCTCTCGAGTGTGTTCTTTTCAAGTGTACAGGAGTCATTCATTTCCTCCGCCGCGGTCTGGTGGAGGCGGAAAAGGTAAAGCGTAGGTAGCAGGGTCCAACTAGCTGACTAACATGCAGGCGAGCAGGGGGAAGGAACCCAGTCAATTTAAAGCTGCGCCGCCTCAGGCCCAGTCTGCCCGTTTCACTTCAGCTGTTTGATGTTTAATTGAAGTTGTTATTGGCATCAAATGTCACCTTACCTGATGCTCCAGGTGTGAATCGCTTTCTAATTGAAAGGTAACCACATCTCCCTCAGCCCTGAGCCTCGGGGGGGTCAGCCACAGAGTTCTATTAGTCTGGACCCAGCCTCTGGATCATGTGCTGCCTTGCAGTTATGTCTGACTGCTGACCTCGCTCTCTCTCTCTCTCTCTCTCTCTCTCTCTTTTCTCTCTCCGCAGTGTGAGGAGAAGTGTGTGTCCCATGTTGCATTAGTGTCTCTGTGAAATGCTGGCCTGTCTGCCAAGGCCAGGTGAACTCCCCCTCCAGCTCCTCCCCCACACGCAGATGAACACTGGACATCAGAAATGTAAGTATCTCCATCTCTCACACACACACACACACACACACACACACACACACACACACACACACACACACACACACACACACACACACACACACACACACACACACACACACACACTGCTAACTAGCACCAGCATCCCACACAAAAATACCAAGCTGTTACCATCCCTCTACCCACCCTACGTCAGATGGCCATGCCAACCCTGGCCTGGTTCTCTGGTGTTAGAACCATAAAGATAAAATGAAAATGTTTGGGCTCCAGGACCATGGATCTGTCGTCAAGAGAAATGTAAGATGAACTGGGCCATTTATTTGCCGATGATTTGGCCCTCTCCCTCCCTCATCGCCCCCGAAGATCTGTCTGCCACAAGAGTTCCTTCCCGTCTGTGTGCCACACTATCGCCACAGTCATGTGTTAGATTCCACCATCTCGGGTACTTTTCACTATCAGGAAGAGTCAGTCACTGTCAGACTGGCAGACAGATTGCGGCTGAGTGCTTTTGCCCTGATGATCTTGTAATGAGAGTGAATTTAAGAAGCAATCTGCTGCCCTGTTTTAATGGCAGACTAGTCAGAGCTGGCCCAGTTAATTCAATGTGTTTGAATTTCACAACTTGGGAATCAAATTGGACTCTTGACAGTTTGAGTGGCAGCTACTAACTGGACTGGAGGAGATTATAGTATGTCAAAACTGATGAGTATACATGGTAACAATTAGTGTTGTATAGTTGTTCCTTGTCACTGTTTTAAAAGTGTTATGATCATTTTTTTTAGCCAATCCAAACTTTGTTACTAGTTTTCTTTAAGGGAAAAATAATTTTGTAAAGGCCCCATGATTCAGATCAGCTCACATTTTTAATTGGTTCTTTCTTGGACAACGATACACCATTCCACAAAGTTACATTCAAATCATGTTAGTGGTTTTTCTGTAATACTGATGACAAACAGACAAAGAAACCCTCAAACAAAGACACAATGAGCATGTGTGGTCTCGATGATTGCACCGAATACTGTGATGACTCATACACTGAGCTTTTTACATACAAACCAAAAAGATCAATCACTTCCCAGACATTGAATATAGCCCATCCAGTTTTTCATTCCATCAGAAAATGTCACCTTTTCTTCCTGCCTGTTTATCTCCGAGTGGAAACTCAGCTCCAGCTTGACCCATTTCTTGCAGCAGTTTTTTCTCTGTAAAATGCTCCAGCTCATCAAGACTGTAATTTCAGAATCACAGTAATCAGCCAACCCCCAGGAGATCAGCAAGTGTGAGGGAGTCTGCTAAGTGCCAGCGTCTGTTGCCTCACTCAGGCAGACTTGTGACATAGTGCAGCCATCAGCTACACAGTTCCTCCGCTCTCCCTTTATGTGACACGCCAAGACACATGAGAGCAAGACACATGAGAGCAAGACACATGAGAGCAAGAGGCGCAACTGGAGTTCAATTTGTTTTTCTGCCCAACGCTCTAATCCATTTTGATGACAGAGCGTTCAGTCCTGGAAGTGTAATTTCAATCTATTTTTTTCCCCTCCTCGCCATTCTCTTGTAATGCTTTCCCTTTTCATCCGCTCTTCAAAGTATCATTAACAGACGCGGTGTTACATCAAAAGCTGTGGAACTGTTTTTCATTTTAGACTGAATCTTAGTCACAGAAAAGAGTGAACAAAAAGGATTCTTGACACTCATGTTATCTCTCTTGCTGCCAACTATCCATCCCCCGTAGACCCCCTTCTGGATTTTCACAGTTTGTGACGTTTTTTATGTTTTTGAGATGCCTTTAAGCCGCCACACACAACCAAAACTAGGCCTCAACCCTGGAATAACACTCTGCCATCTCCCTCCTGGCTGTCTGCAGGACTCCGTGTCTCTGCTGAGCTCCATAGTTAACCCAGCATGGAGGATAATTTGACAGCTTAACTCCATGAGAGGTGTGCTTGGCTGCTTTTAGATGAAATTCATGGACTAGTTGTCACTTGAAATCTTTATTCAATACTCTGACAGACTTCCACGGAAAGAAAAGGCATGGATGGAGAGTTTACATAATTAACTCTAATTTGTGTTCCCATCTATCTAACCTTGAGCACAATCCTTGCAGCAACACTGTAATGCAGTGTTTTATTTTACATTCTGCCCTTTACACCTCCCCTTCCCTCTGATTCCAAATGATCCATGCCTGCCTCCTCTCCCCAGGTGGATCTTTGCAGAGTCATTTCAAGTTACGAGCTTGCAGGTTGCCGTCAGAGGCGAGGCCAGAGCAGCTGCTCTATTTATCACAGGGATCAACTGTTAACAGACGATGGCTGTGAAATGTTAAGGCTGTCCGAGGAGTAGATTAGGTTTGCAAAGAGACAGTGGGTCACAAAGAAAACGGCTCATTCTCCAGGCAAGATGATTCAAGTACCACAAAGTGGCCCTTGGTCTTCAGTTCTGCTTACAGGCAGAACAAACAGTGAGTACAGCTGGGCCACTTGGCTGATTTTCAAAACTCATCCTTACTGAGATCAAAAGCAACCGTCTTTTCTTCCTCTCCCTCCCTATAATATTCTTCATTTTTCAAAAGGTCTTGTGGTTTTGATCTATCAGCATGGGAGGCTCTACTCAAACGTCTTTAAAAAATGTTCGGAGGTGGCCTCATGTGGGATATTCACATATCTAATTTGATGCCGAAGCTTCAGACCTAATTTCCTGCTCTTGTGTGAAAATTGCAATTTGCAGCAGCATGAGCCCATGCCCCCTGCTGCTTAAACCTCGTTCAATAAAAACAGTAGTTTGAATAAAAGAAACCCTAATTAGTGCCTGCTGACTGTGCACTTGTGATCCAACTAGCTAGCTAGCAGCGGGATAATTAACGCAGGGCCAGACTGGCCTCTTTCCCCCGTTTCCCTCCTCGGGAACGTGCTTAGTTGGAGATCTGAGAGATGATATGCTCGCAGCCACCAGCAGCCGCCTACAAACTTCACTCATATCCTCATTAACCCTCCCTCGGTACATTAAACTGTTCCTCTAATCCAGGTTTCAGGTTAAGGTTGAAATGCCAATAAGCTACATTTGCTTACAAGAATACATAATCAACAGCTGGCAGAACACTGAGACAGTTGTTAACAGCAAGAGGTCGATTTTATCCACTGTTTGGGAAAAGTCTAAACGGCAATTCACTGATTTCACTACACATTTTATAGCCGTTCTGTTCAAGCCTTCATTCTGATTTGCTTTTTTTTGTATCTCAAAATGCCTGCCTAAGCTTTGTTAACAATGTGTAATCCCTTTTCCAATTTAATGGATTGGTCAGTTTCCAGACATTGACATTGCATTCTTTGCTACTTGCCTGAGTCTTACAACTTAAGTATAAAACTCATTACACAAGTGCCAGAGGCAAAGAAATAACTCTGTACACAGTTACAGGCTCACTGGAGATTTTCTTGCTATATTTCTCAATCTAAAAGCAAGTGAAGGCTATGTATTCAATATTATTAATTCTCCTTACTACCATATATAAAGATATACACATTCATTTAGGTATTATATAAAATCATTTCATTTCGTTATGAAGAATGTTCACAGTTGAATAGTTCAAAGCCTTGAAGCTTCATTCATAACATTCTTCTTATGTCTTTTCGTTCTGTTTAAACCTGGTATTTCTGCACGGTTTGCACATAAAGATAAGGTTACACTTATATTGTTAGTATTGTACACTTTGTGTCATTAGATTTAATTGGTGTTAGGGTCATTTTGACTTGTGTCATTTAAACATTTCCATTAACTCAATGTCCAAGAGTCTAAAAATAAAATGTTGAGAAAAAACAGCATTTTCAAAGTAGTCAAAAAATAGCTTGCTCTACCTCTTGCTGCAAAAATATTGAGGCACTCTGGCATTTAACAGCACCTAAATTACATAACACAATAACAAACAATCTATTCTTCCAACATGTTTTAAGGGGGATGACGCTATAAAATATGACGGCACATTATGAAAAAAATGATATTTGGTACAGCATTAGACTTAAGTTACAGTCTAACCAAACGTTGATGTCTCTGTTGAAGCTCTTTAAGTGAGACTGTTTTCATCTACTTTCACCTTTCCTTGCTGTAAATACCTTTTTATCCAACTTGACTTCTCATCTCGGAACACAGAGCGGTTTCCTGAAATATGATGTTACATTTTTAGTTCCTGTGTTCCACAATCCTGGTTTTCATCCAAAGGAATCTTATCCCCATGAAGTGAACAAATATGTTTAATTCATTGCAACAGCTGATGGTACTCTCTTCCCACCTACTTACAACCCTGTCTTAAGCTACATAGACATGAGGTTTTGACAACAGTTGCAGAGGAGGCTGTGACAGAATCTCTCAGGCTCTAGATATACTCTGAATACAGATAGCAAACTATGGAGGACAGAAGCTGCCAAAATAAATGAATATGCCTAAATGTATCAAACATATTTAAATAAGGAAGCATAGGTATGAACCTAGCTGTGTGGATCTATGCACTCTGATGCTGATCAACCAATAGATGGATCCAATGATAGACTTTGAATTAAAGCCCCTCTCATTTGCATAGCAATGACTAAGAAATGTTTAAGTGTAATACAAAGAGAAAACATATACATAATTTAATAAAGAAATGCATACAACCCTATAAAAAATGTAAGACGTTTTTTTTAAATAAAGAACATGCAAATAAATATATAGAAAATATAAGGCAAATTGTAAATGAATAACGAAGCAAATAAAAACAGAGCAATTTGTCACATTATATATTATAATTTTTTTTGCAGCTTTTGTCCTCCATAGAAATAGGTACATTTTGTATGCATAACATAAATTATGTATAACACTGTGTGCCTTTGTATTTATTCAGTCTGCTTCTATGTTACTGTACAAGCCATCATTTCCAACAAGGCCATTAATCACTACCTGTGTTTGACAGCTGAAGTCCATCCTCAGCATGTCTGTGCGCCTGTGTTCATTTATCTGCCTTTGCTTACCGTGGCATTTATTCAGTGGCAGACATTAGGCCGCGGTGATGGCGGGTGTCGAGCTCCAGCTCCTTGGCCCAGACCCCTGCATTAATGAGCATCAGCCATCAGCAGGCTGAGCACTCGGTCACAGCGGCCCCCTGTGTGCCGCCCCATCCCGGCCCCCGCACATCGCCGCCCATTGTTTCCTGTTCACAAATAAAGCAGGAATTAATTAGCCGCTTGGCACCAACTCGTGGTGCAGCCGTGTCGGAGCTCGCAGTTCAGCTCCATGCCTCATCCCTCTACTCCAGCCTGCCTGCTGTGAGACTGAGCGTAACGGGCACCGCCGCATGAAACCACAGAGCTCTGCCAGCAATTCAGACATTTCAAATTACAGCTCACTCGACAACAGAGAGAAGCAGTCTGCATGCTGTAATGGTGACATCTTTTTTTAAACTGAAGTCCCCTGCTCATAAATAATGAAAGTAGCTCAGTAACCAGTCAGATCCTTCTCACAGATCAGCTCCACTTGTGTCCATCAGTCTGAGAGCTGTGGTGTAAGTAGGTCAGACTGGTACTGCTGAGGCGATGGGGACAGTGAGAGCCTGTCATTCTCTGAAACTGTTATCACTGACTTTTATTGTGTCGAGTGAAGAAAGTGTAAGTGATCAAATCGGAAATTGCAATCACGCCCGTTAGGCACCGACACCGACACGATCAGCCACACCTGCATGATCCTGTCGCACATTTTCAAATGGGCCCATATATGAAACTAACACATGCACAAACACATAACCGTGTTCACAGTGTCACATCGGCATTGTTAAATTTAGCCATGGTGCTTAGCAGGTGTAACAAATGTCTGCGAGCGGAGGCCTGGGAGGTGTTCCTGCAGATCAGAGACGCTGCTGCTGTGTCTGATTACTTGTCTGCTGTCATGGAGCTCTGCTCTTTGCGTCAATCTTTTTTTCTTCCCCTCTCCCTGCAGAATCCACGGGGGACCAACACTGCCTTCACTCATTCTTTGTTTAGTTTGTGATTCAGTAGCAAGCAGCATAGACCCCCACCCCAACCTCAGACGCACACTTATTGTTCGCCCCGGATGCTGCGTCAATTAAGGCCACTAAAAGCTCCTGACCTCAGAGTCACAGACGCCACCACAAAATTGGATTTTAGACTGGCTATGTGTCGGCCACAATAATTCAGCTGAGAATGAGATTGCAAATATCTCTTTGTCCTCGGGGAGATGTGATGGTCTTTGGTAGAATAACAGTGAGGTATGGAATATAAGAGCGCTGTCTAAATCAGGTTCCTCTGGGCTGCTCAGATTACAGCTGCTGTGCTCTTTTGTGCCATATCCACCTGGATTAAGTTGTCTTTCTCATTGTGCTTTTCTCTCTCTTTTTTTCCCTCCCTATTCTGTCTCTGTCTTCCCCTCTGACCCATTCTGTCCTCACCCCAGGGGACACCACACAAAGGATGCGATCGGCTCCATTTCCAACCCCTGCAGAATTGGATGCATTTGCTAAGAAGGTTGCCAACAACCCCCTCACCATCAAGATCTTCCCCAACAGCGTGAAGGTCCCCCAGCGGAACCACGTGCGGCGTACAGTCAACGGGCTGGACACGTCGGGCCAGCGCTACAGCCCCTACCCCTCCTCTCAGGCCAAGGCCGGCCTCCTTGCCGTCATCAAGGAGCCCACGGTCAAAGGCATCCTCAAAGATTTTGACGGCAGCAGGGCTCGCTTGCACCCTGAAGTCGTCATGAACCCCCACACCGGACCCTACCAAGTGGCTTCGACCAGCACTTTAAACCACCACCCGGCTCTACCGAACCTCACCCGACTCCAGCAGAGCTTACCCCTTCAACAGGACCCACCTCAGACTCTACAGATGCCCATCCCTCCGCAGCAGGGTCACAACCAGAGCCTCAGACACCCTCCCCCCATGGCCCAGCACCCTCAGGGCCCACCCAGACTCCAGACTCTGTCTCAGCACCCGGCCCTCGGCCACCCACAGGGGCCCCCTGGCGTCATGCTTCAGCAGCAGCAGCACCTCCAGCAGCAGCCGGCCCCCGGCCTGCAGGGGGGCAGACAGCTGCCAGATGGCGACGCACCGCCTAATGTTACCGTCTCTACCTCAACCATTCCACTCTCCATGGCCGCCGGGCTGCACCAGGGCCACCAGGCCGATCTGAGCCACATCGTTCATCAGATCAACCAGTTCTGCCAAGCTCGGGCCCAGGGCGTGGGGGTCACCTCCATGTGCGAGGGTCAGATCGCCAACCCCAGCCCCATCAATCGCAACCTGCTCATCAGCGCCTGCTCCAGGGTGTCCATGCACAGCAACCCCGCCACCCCTGGTTTTCCCCAACATAACTGCATTATCTGTCCTCAAGAGAAAGCCACAGGGCCAATGGGAGCCCACCCCCAACACAGCATGGCTGTTATGAACCACTTGCCTTCCAACCACAATGATCTCAAGCAGCAGCAGCAGCAGCATCACCTGCAGCATCTGCATCAACAACAGAGTCAGCAGCAGCTCCAACACAACGCGCAGCTGCAGCAGAAGATGCTCTCTTGGAATCAGCACCAGTTGGCTCACGTTCCCCACATGCAGAACGGTGGGAGCCACCTCTGCAAGCAGCCTTCCAGGGACCCCGCCTTCCATTTTAAGGGCATGGGCTACCCGGCAGAGGTGTGTGTGGGCCAGCCTTACACTCTGAAACCTCCCATAGAGAGGCCAACGCCCTCTCCACCTGTCAACAACAACGGAATGCCCGGCCACATGGCCCACTACACTAACGGCCACTACTTCCAGCCCCACGTTTGGAACAGCAGCATCCTACCTACACCCAACAGTGACAGCTCCGGGTCTCAGGACATAGCCATGCCATTCCACGGTGCGGGCCCTGGGGGCTGCACCACGCTAGACTGTGGGCCCCCTGGGGCTCCCCATTACATGCTAGGAACGAGCTCCTCCTCTGCCTCCGCCCAGTGTAATCTGATGCAAACAGCAGATTACTTGGGTGGGGACTTCCAGACGCCCTACTTCCGCGATCAGAATCTAGGGCTGATGGGCAAGATGCACAGGCCTCCTCTGAGCAGGGCGGGTCCAGAGGTCGGGGACGGCAGAACCGCTCTCATCCAGCACCCAGGGTACAGATAAGCTATGGCCTTATCTACACTACAGTTATCAAACCCCCTTTGTTAAGTCTTAAGAAAGGAAACACATGAATACATTGATAACTTAAACCGCTTAAAGAGGGTAAATTAATACAGTTTTTTTCCCCGTTTTTTTTAATAAATCTTGCAAGTGATCAATTGCTACTTTTATTTTTGTTGAGTGCTTTTACCTGGCACTTTAGGGAACTTTTTCATGTGTATACTGTGTGTGTCATTCCCTCCTTCCTCTATTTTACTATCTGTGTGCCTGGGTCTAAACAAACCCTGCGTTATTTCTATTTCAGACCTTTCAGTTATGTTTTCTTATGCATGTAAGAAAAGAAAAAACAGATGGATCCCTGCGACGTCTAATAATGGATGTTTTTGTGATCAGGGTTATGTCAGGAATTGTTGGCTCAGACTAGTTTCACTACCTTTTGATTTGGTGTTAACGCTCCGATCTCATCAGAATTGAAAGATTAAACGCAATCATTTGAGGGCAGAAGAGAGTATCAGTGCAACACCACCACACACGAATAAAAGCTCATGCACATGTACACATTGTTTTATTTTGCTTTTAACTGTAATTATTTATTTGTATAGTAGGACTATTGAAGATCTATTCCTCTCTGTCAGTTAAGGAAGCATGTAATCAGGTTGTTTGTACATAGTCAAGCTCCAGCTGGGAGCAGATGCGTTGAATAGGCATTGCTCTGTCCTGCTGAAAATGCTGCAATGAATTCAGGTGTTTAAAAACTAAAAACTTTTTGTCAATGCCAGGAAGGTTTGGCAACGAGATTGTGAAATGTTAAGTGCAGAAAAAAGTAATGAAAGATTAACCTTAAAATGGCCAAAGTCATGTTAACAAGGACACACTGTTATGAAGATGTGCCATTTATGTGTTTGTTTCCTTTTTGTAACCATGAAAAATGTATTACTTGAATGTTGAGATTATTTGTTTTGCAGTTATTGAAGGTTGGTAGGTTGGTTGGTTACGAGGACAAAACTCTGGAGTAGAATGAATAAAAGTGTTACTAATGTTGTTTAGAAACGAGCCTCGTCAAGAGTTTTGATCCTGACAGTGGGAACTTGAGTGATTTAAGTTATGTGTGGTTGCTACTGATTCTGATGTGAAGTCTGCTCGAAATGAGACCAAATTGATCACTTGCAAGATCACTTGGAGGAAAACAAAAAGGACTTTTAAGTTTAAAGTGAAACAGCAAATGCATTGTTTATTTTATTGTACACTGGCTTACCTACTAGACTACTGTAACTCTAAAGTTTAACGATTGTGTGTGAATGTCGCCTGCTGATGAGTTAAGGGTGAGTGTGTAAGAGTGTGTGCATAAACACAATGACGCCCATGTTTTGTTCACCTAACTCCCTAACAGCCCTTAAAAAGCCTTAAGTGTTTGGTCCTTGGACTTCCCTTGAAAATGAGCATGGTTTTAATGAAAAACCCCAAATAATAAGGAGAAAGAAGATGCTAAGGATACACAGAAACAGCAATTTATTGGTTTCTTTCTTTCTGGTCTTTTTATTTTATTGAAGTTTTGTTGACTCGACAGAGAAATTCCTTTAGAGATTCTTTATTATGGAGAGCAAGAAAAGGAGTAATATTTTGTAATTATATATTTTAGCAAAGTGTAGTTACTGAGCTGTAACCATTTTTTTCCAAGCTTCAGTTTGCAGTTGTGACTATAATACTTGATTTGCTTGTTATTTAAATTTCATTTTCTTCTTTTGTTTCTTGTACTATTGCTGTGAAATGGAAGAAGGTCCACAAGCCTTTCTTTTGTGTCATTCTGTACGACAGATGAGAGGCAAGAGAGTGAGAGTTGTGCTACTCTTTTTGTAATATTGTAATAATAAAATAAAGTTCTAATTTATGCTTTGAAATGAGTCTGAAATTTGGTTTGGATCATCTGCAACACTCACACTGAACACGGTTGTGCATTTCTTCTCATTCTCCCTTCATTCTTCGGGAGCTAATTGCAAAAAAGGGCTCTTAAAGGAATATTTCCTCCACAAATGATCATTTTTATATACATTTATTACCCTGTGCATCCTCGAATGTATGAAGAAATAACGGAGAAGTAACAGAGGAATGTGTTGACTAATGTAAGTAAATGGGGGTCCGAAACAACTGCAAAACTAACTAAAAACATCCATTTACAAACTCTCACACAACTCATACATTATAATACATTTTTCTTTGATCAAGTTGTATGCTTACTTTAGCTCGAAACCCACGCAGTTTAAAACACTTTGGACAGGTTGTGGTTTGTTAGTCGTCTCATATAGGTTTCTTACAGATGTGTGTGCCAACTGAAAAGGCCGCCTAAACCACCTTTCATTTGTAACTGAGGCCGCTAGTGCCAAAGATGACGACTGTTGCACCAATTGCTCTACTTTCATGCCATTTTACCCGAGCCTGCCTCTGCCAAATAGAAACAGGAAGTTGAGTAGACTAGGCACGCTGTGAAATCCACAGGACTATCTGGCTGCAGTAGATTTAGCTTGTCTAGCTGTGATGAAAATGGGACTTGTATAAAGGGCACACTGCAGGGGGGGGGGGCGAGATCAGCACCTTTCGTAATCAGTATTACTCCATGAAGGATTGGGAGCTGTGTCACAGGCAGGTTCTGGCCTTTGTGCTGAGAGGATGTGCATCCTGCTCAGGTGGTGGTGGAAGCAGCGTGTGCAGAAGCCTTTGGATTAAATGTACTGCAAATGTATGATTTGGCAATTAGGTATCTTTGATCATTTGTCCTATTTTACACTGTTGTGTCAGTCAGGTGAACACATATCTCAGTGAAATAATGCCTCCAAGGCTACATTTAATATCAGGCTGACAAGGGAGTATCAGTCAGTCAGAGAGGCAATTCACACATTTGACAGTTACATTTCTTTGCTGTCTTTAAATGTAAATGTCTTGATGTCCGGGCAGCCAGTGTGAAGCTCTCTGGTGTGTCTTTAGACCGGTGGGGGGTTCAGAAGATTCATCTCTGAGGACTGATATGCCTGCTGCCGACTGCCCTCTGTGAAAAAGCCTCTCCAGCTCCTCCCTGTGGATAAAGAAGGATATGTTCACACATGACTTTCCTGTCACAGAGAAATACTAAAAAAAAACATTTACTGCGTTCATGTTTCTGCACCTCTGTTGGGCGGGGTGTGCGCTGCAGGCTGCTGGGCGCGATCCCAGCACCCCGGATCCTCATTGATTTTGCCCAGGTTGCTGTTCCATTTGTTCCAGTTGACTTCCTCCACTCTGAGACGACAAGAGGACACATGCTCCAATTACTGTATGCTGTGCGATGCATCAATCAGCTGTCAGAGAAGGCAAATTAGTGAAGGGCCCAGTGTGCTGCGCATCAATCGATGGTGCTCACATAGCTGCATCTTTTGTTGAATCTTCCAGCCTACAGCTTTTGTATCTTCTTTATTATCATAGCTTGCTACACCTTGTGTTCTATCACCTGTTAAGCCCCGAGCCTGTTTTTCAGGTTTCAGGCTCGAAAATGACATGCCCAAAACAAATGACTACAACTTCACTTCTAAAAGGGTTATATGAATAATTTCTTTTATCAAAGCAAGGTTACATATGTGAGTTGGATGTAGAAGTGTCAGAATCAATATAGATTGTTCTCAGTCAGAGTAAATTCAGATGGAACATAGTAAAAAAAGGTAAATTCTTACCTCCGCCTAAAGAAAAAACATTACTTACAGTGAAAACCATCCTTGAATGATGGGATGGTAGACTAAAAGCTTTAGGAATCCAAACTATAACATATAATAAGTACCTTGTATCAAGATTGAGGCAAAACAAGTTCAATTTGATCTTTTTAGAGAGGTTTAGCAAAAAAAAGTTCCAGGCGGAATAAGCTTTCGGCACATTTGGGTACATCTGGTTCCATCAGTGCCATTTGACCTTTTTCAGGTACCAGACTATAAAAATGATGTATTACATTGAATTATCACCATAGGTATTCATTCCACCTAAAGAAAAAAAAATAAAAGAAAAGAAATTAATAAAAAATAAAAAAAAAAAAAAGTGCTGGATGAAAAGTCTATGATTCTGTTATCACAATTCATCCTGAGGGGAAGATTAATACCCAAACCAAATGTGGTAATGCATCAAATGATTCAGATATTTCCATTTAGACTCAAGTGATCTCTATAAAAAATATCTGCATAATGCATCATTTCTATTAAACAATATTTTGGAAGAATTCTGGTTTGTGTTTGAAATCGGAGTTGTAATGACCAATCGTTTTCAACAGGCTTTGGTTGAATGCGGGTCAACAGTCAGTGTGGAGAGCAGAAGGGGCAGAATGCATTGGGCTGAAATGCATTCTGGGAACCCAACAGCTTTCTACTGATTTATTTTGTTTTTTATTAGCTTAAAGCTAGCTTGTTACCTGGCTACTTGTGAAAAATGCTAATCAGAAGAAGTGGCAAAGAAGTCGGGGCCCAGATATCAGCTATAGCTATACCTGTATTTTAGTTGTGCATATTACCAAATGTGATGTGGCAAGGACATTAATTATGGAAGTCTGTGTGTGTAATTTCATCCAAGATTCAGATGCAGCTTTTGATGGAGCCTCTTGATATCAGTAACAGATTGTACTGTCGCTGAACCGAGATTAACCAACCTGAAACACCGGCGACGGTCGTCTCCAAGAGTAGTCCTGAGGTTCTTCTCCACCCCACAGCGAAACCTCTTCCTCAGACAGCTAGACAGCCTTTTCTCCATGTCCAGGATGGTGATGGCCCTCTAAAAAAACAGTGAAATCACTTAATCAAACCCTAGCTGCTTGGAACAGACACTCCATCAACCTCAGTCCTGCACGCCTCACCTGTAGCTTCCAGATGCTGGTGCTCTCCTTGGTGGTCTTCTCCACGGTGCAGTTCATGAGGGCGATGAGCATGTTGAGCAACAGGATGTAGGTGAGTATGATGTACCCGATAAGGAGCACATAGAAGACCTCTCTGCTCTTGTGTTCCTGGATGAATTCCATGTCCCCCATGCCGATTGTGAACTTGAAGAGCTGCAGGATGGTGAAGGCGATGCTACTGTAGGAGGGCTTTACACAATCCTCAGGAGCAACTGTAATATACAAACGCCCCTTTCCCGGCTTCTCAACCGCAGTGGTGTTATTCGCAGGCTCTATGAGCAGACTGATCACCGCTGTGATAGGACAGGGGAAACAGATTACAAATAGCACATCCTCCCATTATCGCATAGTGACAATAGCTATGCAAGCTTAGGTAGCACTTTCTATGACGCCCAATGTCTATACTATACTGCATTATAAATATTCTTTAAATGTGTAATAATGTGCTTATAGTAATGTATATGTACAGTTATAGGCCCTTAACTCACATTTTGGAAAAAGGATAATAATACTTAATGATAGTCACATTTTTTGCAAAATTCACGTGTATTATAATGTCTTAAGATACTGATAATCAATGTTTTAATGCATTATAGTGTAATTATACATTACTCTAAGAGGTCAATGGGTTCTTTAAGTGAATTCATTACATTCCTGAGGTTTATGCCGGGATAACAAATTACAAGCTGGGTATAACTCACTAAGTGGTCATTGTTTTCTTTAAGGAAAAATATCATTAAATAATGTATCGTCTGTTATCACCTGTTCTATTTTAATACCCTATAAAAGTGATTTAAATGCCTTATAAAAAGATAATGTTTTAATACAACTATGGGCATTATAACATACTATGACACTCAAAACAACCAAAAAAGTTACTGGTATTTATTGATACTTTACCATGTAAGTTGTTATAAAATACTTTATAATGTGTAATGATTATTGTTATAAAGCATTGTGAATATGTACGAGTAGTTAATACTACACTTATACAGTCTCAAAAGCAGATTACAAAGCATTCTAATTAAGTTTACAATTCGTTATAGACATTGCCGTTAAAGAAAATATTATTATCTCAAAATATTTATTTATTTAGGAAAGTAATTTATCTCCTTCTACTTTTCAAATCAATAAAAAATAAATGTGTAAAATTAGTTATATTTTCAGATCGAAAAGCATTTTGGGGAATACCTGCTGAAAATCCAAAGAGGAAGACAATGTAGACAAGGAGGAAGCGCAGGATATCACAGAGGATCATCTACAAAAAGAAAAAGGGGCAAAGTGATTTAAGGAGGGTTCACTGTGATGGTCACCGTGGTGCTGAGCGTCCTGTGTGAACTACCTTCTGTATCATGATGCTGTAGATGCCCATGTGTCTGTCGCCTCTGGAGAAGTAGAGGATGTTGACCCAGCTGAGAGCGAGACACACCACCATTACGCTGAGGTACTGCTCCATCCCCAACAGATACAGCCCGGCTGTGAACAGGAACAGGAGGCCCTGAAATAAACTGTCAAGAGAAACCACTGTGATCCTGCACAGCATCCTGTACATTAACAGTCTGTGCTGTCCAATACAACCCCGTTTTGTCATTAAGTTAAGAACATTTATAATCAAGGACATTCCATGTTTGGGGTGGTTTACAATGTTTGAAAAACCTCTTTTATTGACAGTTTTTGTTTTGTTTATTGTGTTGTCTCCTCACTCTTCTAGACTGTCCGTCAGTGGCCCCTCGTGAACAACAATTGCTTCATTAGCATAAGACATTTTATGCAATTGTCAAAGCCAAAAATATACTTTTCAGACGTACGCAAAAACAGACCTTAATAGAAAGGCTTTGTGTCATGTTATCAGCAATGGGGGTTCATAATTGTGCACAGGACAGGACTAAAGCCATGGATGTACATTATAAAGGCAAGTGTGTTAAATCTGGAGGGAGGTGTTTGTTTGAGTGTTGAGTTCAAATATCAACAATCTTTCTCCAGAATCACTGACTCACTGAGTTAGAAATAGAGATAATCTGTGTGTAGTCAAGGTTTTTTTAGTTTGATTTAGGAAAAATACAAGTTCACCAAATGGTCACGCTTTTGGTGAGTCAGTACTGTGGCAAAACATCCAACGTTTTAAGCATTACTACTTACAAAAGAATCTCATAATATCCATCAATCAGCAACGTCTGCAGCTTCGGCCGTTTCCTATACATGTCCATGACCTAGGGATTTAGGTATGATTTTTTATTAAAAGATTGAAGACTGTGATGTGATTTTAATTAAAAGCACATAGTCACCTACTTACCCCTATGACAAAGAAATAGCAGTTTGCCAGCGCTGTCACTAGCTGGCCTGAAACATACAGGTAACCCAGAGTGGTGTCTTCGATGGGAAACGGCAGCTGTGGGGCAGAGCAGAAACCTCAGTTCAGATCGGCTACAAAGACCAGTCAAACCATGTGTAGCAGTCAGCTTACCGGCCCAAATTTCTTGTTGTAGGCCACAAGGGTGAAGTTGATCAGGTACAGGATGTAGACCAGGAGGTTGAGGAAAAACATTCGACCAGCAAACTTCTTCCACTTCTCTTCCAGCAGATGGCACAGAGGCTCCATCTGGAGCATCTCGTGGCGGTTCTGAGAGGAGTCACATGTTTGAGTACAGAACAACAACTGACAGACTGGGCTTATAATGCTGGGACTCACAGGAATGTCACTGCCGTACACCAGAATATCCAAGACTGAGTTCTCCTGGTACGAGTCCAACGAGGCCAGGTCGTACAAGGAGCTCTGGACGGGCCCGTAAACCCACTCTGTGAACTTACGGGACAGATGTTTGTCTTTATTCTCTTGGAATTCCCGTTTTAGGATGTGGGAAAAAATCTGCAGACAAATTAAAGTAAAGTCAGAGCAAATTTATATCTGAGAATGTTCAATCACAATTATCTAGGTCGTACAATATGGAGACTGAAATTGTGACTCTTAATAAAACTCTAACCTAGCCTGCAAGAAAGAAGACTTCAATGTGCAATCATCAATACATCCTTAAAAAACTGAAATGTGTTAGCATTTTTGCACTTTAAGTTCCCTTGATTTTAAGTCAAGGTCGTTTTATTTATTTTATAGTTAACAGGTTCTTCGACATTAAACATGTCAGTAAATATGGTACACATGATGGTGGTGATATTAAATTAATTTGTTTATCCCCCAACATTAGCTTTTTATTTCTAGTGCTTCATAAATCATAAAAGAGTTTGTGAAGAAAACTTGTGAGTATTCTAAACCTCAATTTGCCACAGAGCTTTATTATCTGATATAAACCAAAATGAAATGACAACATTGGTAATCATTGGCTTTTGGTCTAGGGAACCCAGTCATCCCAGGGCCCGCCAAACTTTACTCCTTGGGTTGTTGGGAGAAGCTAGGAGTCTTGTCCCTGGGCCTCAAAACATAGCTATGCTGCTATGTCTACAGTGACACTGCGGAAATGTTTACCCCGATCTTGCCAGTCTTGGCAGCCATTTTGAGAGGCGTCAGCCGATTGTTGTTCTCGATGTCCTCCAGCTTCGACTTGGGGTGAAGTTCGGCATTGGTCTTGAGGATGCGGTCATACATTTTGGTAACAAACTCTGTGTTATCGGCAGAGTTGTCAGCCACCACCACCAGGGCGTGCAGCACAGTGTTTCCATGAGAGTCAGTTAGCTCAGCATTAGCGCGTTGGTACTCGCTCTTCGTGAGGAAGTCCACCACGTCGGGCTGGTTGGTGCAGGCTGCCAGAGACAGAGGCAGCTCACCTGAGGACAACACACAAAGACACTCTGTTAAGTTACAGCTTTTTTTCCCTGCGTGCTATAATTGATTAAATCTCAATGTATTCTTGTGTCAAATCAATCCAAGAACAGCCATCCCTTATGAAACAAAAATATATTGTAATATATTGGTAAATATAATACAATATATTGGATCATACATTTCCATATATGGGAAAGTAGTCCTTATATTTTTAAATATATTGCAATATATGCATGGACCATGTATGGCTATATATTGATACATATAAAAAAAATATATTGCAATGAAAACAAAAACTGCACTATACATTTATATGTAATAGTTTTATTGAAACACTCATTTATCTTTCATGAGTTTACATAAAATTGAACAGATATTCATAAACAGTTATCTCACTTCGTTTTGTATAGTTACCCACTTTATATATGAACATATGTTTGATGGTAGCCTACATATAAAAAAAGTACAAATTGTCCATTGAATGATGGAAAATAATATACAGTTTATAAATATATATAGACACACACATATATGCACGCATATATATATGCATATATGCACGCATATATATATTCATATATGCGTGCATATATGCACGCATATATATATTCATATATATATATTCATATATATATATATATATATAAATATATATATATATGCATATATGCACGCATATATATATGAATATATGCACGCATATATATCTATGCATATATTACGGCCGACCGGCTATTTGGAGTGGAACGCAGCCCATCCACGGCAGACAGCCCAAACAGTATTCGAATGCGCCACTTCCGGCTGATTTCGGGGAGCCCCCCCCCCCTCTCCAGCAATAGATTGATCTGATTGGCAGATTCAAATCTGCGTTGCTGCCTCTGTCTGTTGATTCTGTCGCTGAGTGTCAAAGAGAAAGCATTCATCAGGTGCTTCGAAACGGAAAATTAAAAAGAAACGAGAGGAAAATACAGCACCAGAGTCAGGTATGTGTGTGAGCATTTAAAACTATTTTAAATTGAAATAATTCTGCATGTACACTATAAGTAGTCTAGTTGCTTAATCCGTATGTCCCGTCTCTCGGCACTACACCAGCTACATTAGCTAACGTTAGTTAAATTAGCTATGTTAGTTCCCTCGTGTATGAGTGTATAACCGGTCCGCAGCTTTGTGAACATTCAATTTCGAAGATTTTCGATTTTACAGTCAACTGAAGTCGACCCAAAACAGCCAAAAATAGCGGACCTTTAGATCGCTAACATTTTAGCATAAGTCAATGGAGTTTAACATAGCGAAAACTAGCCCCACGGCTAACGGACATTTTCTGACTGGTGACGACGATGAGCTAGTTAAGTAATGTAACCACAGTTAGTCTATGTCTTGTAAATTCCCCTTGTTCTCCTTGATCTGCATTATATCGTTCGTGTTTTAGTCAGGCACATTTAGGGACAGCTAAAGTAGGTCAGCTACGGGTCTTCGAGCTGGTTACACATGTGCGTTCAGGACATTATTGCGCATCGTCACATGCATAATTACCATCGTCACAGAGAGAATGCGTTCGTGAAGAATGTGAGCATATATGCAGATCTTTAGTGTTGGTAATGTTATAAGATTGTATGCATAGTGTCCTGCTCAGTCAGTGTGTTAATGAGTCTTGATGTCCCGTTTTTAGTTTCTATGTTGTTCAGGAATTGAGCTAATGCTAGCTAGTTAGCTAAGTTAAGCTATGATAGTGTGTGGATGAGATGCTAACTTAGCTTTTATTAGCCGTGTGTTTGCAACGTGTCTAATGTGTTTTAGCAACAATTAGTATTGCTGTTGCTTATTATTAATAACCATCGTCTGGTTAGTTATTGTAATTTGAACCTTATTTCTATTTCTGTGTATTTTGCAGAAACCATTCATTCATTCTCTACTCTACGTTAGGCTATGTGTTGTGGACTAATGCATTCAAGTTAGTTCACATTTTAGTTGTTATTGCCCCTGCTGACAATTGTGTGGATAATATGTAGCCTACAGTCAATGGCATTTCACATTTTGCTCTCCAGTGTATGTTATTTTAATGTTGACCCATAATACTATATATCTATATATTTTACAGGAGCATTGTTGAAATTCATAGGTCGAACTAAGCCTGCAGAACCACAAGTCAAGAGGACAGAGGAGCCAGATAGCAGTGGTGACTGAGACAGAATAAATAAGGAGAGAGGGCCCATGCAGAGGCAGACATCAGTAGTGAGGAATCAGACCCAAAATATACGAGGACAGAGGAGCCAGATCGCAGTGGTAAGGAACGCACTGTCATTTAATTTCACTGTCATTTTACTTTTCACATATCACTTTATTCACTATTCAGCTTAGTTATCCTTGCCATGAAGGATTGAATGGATGAATGTTCTATATTATTTTAATGACAGATTGAACCACAGCAATATTGTTTTAGAGATTTTATATGTTTAACTGCTATGCCTGTCATCTCTGCTCTGTGTCATTGTGTTGTCTCCTGGGTTCTGTAGTGCCCGGAGTCTGTCTTTTTATTTTTTTCCTCCCAAACCCCATCCCCTCAGGACGCCTTTTGCCTCCTGTCAGGTCATCATTGTAATAAGAATTTGTTCTTAATTGATTTTCCTGGCTAAATAAAGGTTCTACTACTATTTATTCAGTTATTTTATTACTGGTACTGCTAATTGCATTATGCGTATTGTTGTATATTGTATATACGTATGTATTTACTACTACTACTTACAAAATCGAGGGTTGTAGCTTTGTGTCAGTACATATTTCAGGGTTTTTCTATGCCTTTGTTCATCTAAATTCTAATACTCATAGGCGACTACCACTCCTGCCGATGCCGAGGCCCAGTTCTCCCTTCCCACCACCCCAGGCTCATTGTGCTAGGTAAAACTCTCATTCAATAAAAGTAGTCTTTTAAAGGTGGGGTAGGTAATTTTGGAGAAACCAGCTCGAGTGCGCTAGAATTTGAAAATACACAGCCGGAAAAAATCTGCCACTTCCTCACAGAGCCCCTCCTCCAACACACACGAACGCGCACATGACCAATGAGGGCACGAGATAAGTTTGTGCACAGATGGAAGGCTGACAGGCAGGTAGGCCATCCAGTCATTTCAGCCGGGCCGGCTAAAATGATTGGATGTGCTTTTTACAGTACCACGGCTTCCACAGATATTTTTTTATGGATTTTTTGTCAAAGCACTTCAGATATTCATTGCTATCGGGATGTTAAGAGCATTCCATGGAATATAACACAAAGTGTATCTCGAGCCGGTTTCTCAAACTTACCTACCCCACCTTTAAAGATGAATGCAATTACATTTAAAAAAGTTTTAAACAGAACTGTTACAGATGCAGATGCTTGGTCCAAATTCCATAAAATATACCAACCAGTAGCGCCACACTCAGACGAAAATGTACAAAGCCTATTCTTCCACTATTTGTATTCCCACATTATTCACCAAGCCAGCCCATGCTTTAATATAGATATTATGGATATTGTTATAATTCCTGCTGTCTTTTGTGAACTTCTAATTATTTGTAATTGTTCTGTTCCACAGATGCTGTAGTAAACCACCATCCAGGGACCAAGACATCAGATATAAGAACATCCATTAACACAAGAATTTGTGAGTAAAGGCACGAAAAAAACAAGATTGACGATCAAATAGGGTACAAGACTGTTTTTTTGGCCCTGTTCCGGACCTTGTTTTAATGAGTGATCAGCTCATGTTTAAAGTTGTCACCAGGTGAAACAAAAAACAAGATTGTTAAATAGGATAACAGACTGCTCTTTTTGGCCCTGTATGAAATAACAATGCATCATTTATTAACTATACCTATACAAAATGTAATACATTTTCCCTTCATTATGTAATAACACCTCCTTTTGTAATAATTTGCCCATTATGTAGTAAACAAGTTCAATGCAAATATGTAATACATGTCGCCACATTTTGAAATATATTATTACATATTGCTGTGGTTATTACAAAATGAGTTGCAAACAATAACATTACAACTGTTTATTTATTTATTCAACCATGAATCATCCTTACTCATAATTTAAGATCCCAAAACTAGATCAAGTGTTACCATATTCATTAGCCAACATGTATATCAACATCAATTTTGGGATATATTTACAGTTTGGTTATGGTTACATAATGAATATTACAGTTTTTTAAAAGGGCAACTCACGCATTTTGTAATAACCATTGCAAAATGTAATAATTTATTACAAAATGCAGGGACATTTATTTTATATTGCGTTCAGGCTGTTACAGAATGCAGCAGATTATTACAAAATGTGGGTTTTATTACATAATTACATAAAAATGTTCTTGAGTCATGACATAATGTGTTGTTTATAGGCCTTTTCTTTTATTCGTTCCTTGTCCTTCTTTTAATGAGTATTTTGATAACTGTTACACATTGATAGAAAAAAACAAATTAAGCTTCTCATTATTCAGACTCAGCTCTCAGCGCTTAAGCTTCTTTTAAATGTTGATAAAACCAAGGTAATGCTCTTTTCAAAAGCTAAAAAGACACCAGAGCCTGTTTTAGATATTTTAATTACACAAGGAATAAAACTTGAAGTGGTTACCTGTTACAAATACCTTGGTATCTGGCTTGATGATTGTCTCACTTTTAAACTTCATGTCAATAACCTGCTTAAAAAACTGAGGGTTAGGCTAGGTTTCTTTTCCAGGAACAAGTCCTGTTTCTCACTTGAGGCCAGGAAAAGGCTAGTCACTGTGACCTTTTTACCTGTACTGGACTATGGTGATCTGATCTATATGAATGCACCTGCCAATTGCCTGGTCAAGTTAGATGCCGCCTATCACAGTGCACTGAGATTTGTGACAAACTGTAAAGTATTAACCCATCACTGTACCCTGTATGCAAGGGCAGGTTTGCCTTCACTAACTGTACGGAGGCTCAGTCACTGGTACATTTTTATATACAAAGCCATGTTAGGGAAACTTCCTTCCTACATCTGCTCCCTGATCTCACGGCGAATTGTAAGTGGCTACTGCCTGAGATCGAATGCTGTGGTTTTATTAAATGTGCCAACTGCTAGGACTGTCTTAGGGAAGATAGCATTTAGATGCGCAGCTCCGCTAACTTGGAACAGTCTGAGCAATTTGGTTCCGCTAAATGTTTTTAAAGCAAGGATAGATACTATCCAATCGGAAACTGTTGGAACCTGTAAATGTTACTAGCTATGTAAACTGTAGTCACTGTAAATATGCTGTATGATGTCCTTTTTTGTTTTTCTGTTATGTTTATATGTATTCATGTGGAACCTACTTGCAGTAGGTCACCCTTGAAAAAGAGATCAATGATCTCAATGGGATTCACCTGCATAAATAAAGGTTTGAAATGAAATGAAAGATTTTTTTTATCAGAACATGCATTTCTCCTCATTGTGAACATATATTGCACTCATGTTCAGAATATATGGTACGTACATGGTCTTTTATAAATCTGAATATATATAGTGCATACATGTCCCCATATAATTGTGAATATATAGCGCATACATATCCCCATATAATTGTGAATATATATAGTACATGTCCCCATATAATTGTGAATATATTCTGCATACATGTCCCCATATAAATCTGAATATATAGAGCATACATGTCCCCATATATTTGTGAATATATATAGTACATGTCCCCATATAATTGTGAATATATTCTACATACATGTCCCCATATAAATCTGAATATATAGTACATGCATGTCCCCATATATTTGTGCATATATATATATATAGTACATGTCCCCATATAATTGTGAATATATTCTGCATACATGTCCCCATATAAATCTGAATATATAGAGCATACATGTCCCCATATATTTGTGAATATATATAGTACATGTCCCCATATAAATGTTAATATATAGTAAAATGTATGTTCACATATATACACAACCAATATATTATATATATTTACATATATTACTCAATATATGGAAAGCGGCAATTACTGATGTATTATCCCATATATTACAATATATTATCACAATATATTATTCAATATATATATATTGTAATATATTAACACAATATATTATTCTATATATCTTCAATATATTTTCAATATATTTTGTAGATATGAATAAATAGGTTTTTCATGTTGATTATTAATCAGTATCACTTGGTGTAGCCAACAGCAAGATTTCCTTTATTAAATCTTTTCAATTAACCAGTAAATCAGAAAACAAAATAATGCAATATATTGACAGTTAATATATGGGGAAATATATTTTCTTTGCGTAAGGGATGCAGAGCAGGGCTTTGAGACTAATGCCAGACAGTTCGAGTGAAACATATTTGCCAACGGATTAGGTCGCAACAAGGTTGCGAATTGTAAAAAAAACATCTAGTTACAAAGCCACTTGTGAAAGTTGTCTTTTTGGATTAAATGGTAAATTATATAGCGCCTTATCAGGACTGTACGACCCCTCAAAGCGCTTTACATAGCGTACTAGGAGTCATTAATCCATTCACACCAGAGAGACACGAGGAGAGCTGGAGCTTTGATGGCAAACAATGATGGTTTATTTGGAGCTTCGGGCCGGGGAATTCACAAGACATGTCATGGGCCATGGGTTGATCACAGGGTAGAGATGCCAAATCAATTCTGAAGAAACCTTCCTCTGGTAGGAGGATTTAACAAGTTTGCTGAGGGTAATCAACATTCTTCAATAGATAGACTAAACAGCTGAGGAAACTGAATCCACTTTAGTTGTCGGTTATGGCTCGGGGTCATCTACACCCCGAGAAGGATGTGTTCCAGGTGTCCCACAACAATAACTATCTCTGACCGAGAGTTGCCCGGTCATAAACTGGTAACAACAACAAAATGCTAGGGCAGCCCCTCCTTAAGGGAGATAGTGGCTGTCCAAGGCTGGGCATCTGCGTCAGAGGGCGAAGGAGGACATGCAGGGCAAATTATTCCCTGACATGGAGTATGGACAATATGGAGCTTGTTGGGGAATAATTTTCCTAGGCCCGTACCTTTGACCCAGTTTATCAGTTTGTAATGACCTCACTGAGCTCAGGCACCTGTAGCCTTGGGTGCTGTGCTCCCAGTGTTTTGTCTCCCTGTTCCTGCCTGTTGGCGTCAGCTGATAGAGGTGTTATTGTGCTTTCCCTGTTTTCTCTTGTTATGCACAATATTGATTATTCTCTCAGAACTAGCTAAATACATGGGTCTGGGGTAGAGATCTTCAGAATTGGTTTGGCAACCGCTGTGTTACCTCGTGTATGCAGCACATGTCTTGTGAATTCTCCGGCCGAAGCTCCAAATAAACCATCAGTGTTTGCCATCAAAGTTCCTGCTCTCCTCGTGTCTCTCTGAGTTTCATCTCCATTGCTTCAGAAGTTTCCATCACAGAGCTCAAATGTTTTTTCTCTTACGGGTTTACCACAAGGTGAGTTCCTTTTTTTATTTCCTGCTTTTTTACACATACTCTCTCCAGTCAGGTTAGATCTAAGTGTTAGCGATGCTTGTTAATGTAAACAAAGACCATATTACGTTCAGAACACGCCAGGCATTGTTTCTGATATCAACGTTTCTGATAGGGCCGTGGGTGTAAAGCCAGCCAACATTTCAGATATTACGTCATATCGGACGCAAATCTGGATCAGCTCCGTCGTACCCCCGTTTTTAGAGATTTGGGTACGGAGGAAAAGAGAGAGGTTTTTGTTTTCTGGCACTTTGTGATTTCCCTGGGACACATATTTATGTATAAAAGACATCAAAACGTGCCTTTTGCATGATAGGTCCCCTTTAAAGGTGGGGTAGGTAAGTTTGAGAAACCGGCTCGAGATACACTTTTTGTTATATTCCATGGAATGCTCTTAACATCCCGATAGCAATGAATATCTTAAGTGCTTTGACAAAAAATCCATAAAAAAATGTCATCTGTGGAAGCCGTAGTACTGTAAAAAGCACGACCAATCATTTTAGCCAGCCCGGATAAAATAACTGGATGGCCTACCTGCCTGTCAGCCTTCCATCTGTGCACAAACTTATCTCGTGCCCTCATTGGTCATGTGCACGTTCGTGTGTGTTGGAGGAGGGGCTCTGTAAGGAAGTGGCAGATTTTTCCCGGCTGTGTATTTTCAAATTCGAGCGTACTCGAGCTGGTTTATCCAAAATTACCTACCCCACCTTTAAGAGAAAACACCAAAATGTAACCAAATGTATACATTTTATATCCTTGCATCTTTATTTTAACAAAACAAACTCATCAATTTAGTCACAATGGTAATTTTTTTGTGTTGTCCTTTTTTGTAATAAATGAACATTAACCCTAGCCCAGCTAAAATGTAAGATTTCAGGGAACAAATGACATTGGAACTTAGAAATACCGTATTGAAAATGTATTTCTTCATGTTATTGTCCAGAGATGCTGTGACTCTATGGAAAGTTTCTCACTCAGTAATAAAGGTGGCGATGTGTGACTCATCAGTAGATTATCTTTGTGTGAGGCTCCAGAGGAGGGGGCTGCTCCCTGCTGCAGCATGGACTCACCAAAGTAGAAGTTGGGGCCATCGTGTGGCTGGAAGAAAGTTCCGCAGGCTTTGGCGTGGACGTCTGCTCCTTTACTGAGCAGCAGCTCCACATAGGAGAGACTCCTCCTCTCAATGGCTATATGAAGAGCTGTCTGACCTGTCGGAATAAATCGAGTCATACCATTCAAATCTCTTTACATTGTTTAGGTTTGAGGAATAACACAAAGAAAGACATGAGAGTTAATTTTCTCAACAATTCAGCTTCAGTTTACCTTTGTAGTAGATGTTGGTGTAGGCCGCATTTACAAACTCATTAATGTCTTTCATCTTCTCTGAAATGTCGATCAAAAGCTCCACCGTCTCATTTTTGCCATCCATGAGGTGCAGCAGAGCCTTCATGAGGGCCGTTTTACCGTGAGACTGATCTGCAGGTGTAAACACACATACAGGGAGATCATGGACGGAGATCTGGACAAACCTAGGCAGAGCCAGGGACCCTAAGTGTGTAGGGGCCCAGTGGCCACAATGTCAGTCAAAGAGACACATGCTGGCAAAAATAAAACAAAGGGACACAAAACGACCACAAATAGACACAAAAGGATTCAAGAGACAAAATCACCACAACGATAGACAAAACGACATCAATAAAGAAACAAAACTAACACAAGGAGACTTAAAATCAGGACAAGAAGACCATAAGAAGACACAAAAGGCCTACAAATGACCACAAAGAGACTCAAAAGGACAGAAAAAAAGAAACAAATTAAGCACAAAAGCACATGAAATCAATAGAAGACACCAAGGAGACACAAAACCACAGAGTCTATGTGTCATATAGGTAAGGTGATGGGGCCTGTTACATGTCTGTGCCCAGGGGTCCATTGTCTAAAAAAGGTAACACACATGTCTACAGCTGTTGCATCATGGGTCTGACACTCACACAGAGAGTTGGACAGTTTCATCCTGTTCTGATGCAGGTACCGATGCAGGCCGTCCAGCTTTTGGACGTCCCTACTGGCCACCGCTTCAAACAGCCTGTCGATACCAAACCTGTTGTCTGTGCTTCCACTGGGATCCAATCCTTGAATCTCTCTGTCAACATAACACGTCACAGACAACATCATTGGGGGCAAAAGGTGAAGCAACTCCAACTTAATCATCAATTCTGGGCTTGATAATACACAGAACCATGTTATAATGACTGTTAAAATCCCTTTATGTTTGCATGGTGAGGCTCACTTGTCAAAGTTGGCATTCATTCTGATTTTAGGCTTGGGGATCTCCATCTCTTCCTGGTAATCAGTGTCCATTGGAGCCTTGGGCGGCTCATTGTCTAAACCGCCCTTATGCGCCGCTCTGTGCCGAGCTTTCTCCTCCATCGTCCTGTTGTCTGTCTCCAAAGAGATGCCAAACATCTCCGACTTCTCCATCTCCACCCCCTGCTCTGCGAATCATTCAGACAACAGCCATCAGAACCAGGGATGAGTATTTGTCAGCTATAGATACATTTGTGAAGGAGTTCATCTGATTCCCTACCACCTTAAATGGTTGAAACATAATGTTAAATAAACATTGGGGGAAATAATTTGAATGCATTCTATCAGCAGACGATTGTAATGGACTTCCCAAGTGGAAACATGGTAATCAAATTGCTGCTGAGAATTTACTGGCATAGTGAGCTTGAGATATTTAATTACATCTTGTAAATGTGGGAAGTGTTATCCCTTCGCAAACTACACACACATTCTGTAGATGTCCTAAATGGATACCCATTTGGGGAGAGGTTGAGAAAACCCTAAAGTATGTTTCGGACTTAAAAAGCATCAAATACACCGAAACAAAATTCATGATGTATACACATTATGGACATAGAATATACAGTACCTACATCAGAGTATGAGAATACTTTTTGAATAAGACATAGACTTAACATTGACATACTAACATTGTTTGTAAATTGTTCCAAGAAAAGAGGTATTTCACCCCAATCAAAATATCCTTCTCCCTTTATATATATATTTTTTGGTATGGTTGAATTGTGTGTGCTTGGTACTCCTTGCAATTGTGTCAATAGGTCACACACACTTAGTTTTTGTCTAGTGTGTCACAAGCCAGAAGCATTAGAGAGCCCTGATGTAAACATGCGGGACAAAGCGTTTAATGTGAATGTTTAACATGAGTTACTATGCGTTTGTATCAGCTGGGTCTGAATTCACCACAGGAATCACCTTCTAGCCTTTAAGGACACAGACATATTTCCAGGCATGTGATGTTCCAGCCGCAGGGAGGAACAAAGCAGTGTATTTAGAGGAAGATTTCCATGAGAACATAACTCACAACACTTAATCTGGTAGCCACTTCGCTGCAGAATAATCAATTATGTACAGTAGGATTTATTAAAAACAACATTTTGCAAGTGATTTAAATAAAAAATATAAGTCAAACTGATATAAATAAATGTATAGTTTTTTAATCAAGCAAAGGACAACAGGAGCCTGATCCTGGTGGCTTTCTGTTCCCTTTTTTCTGTCACGAAATGGGGAATTAGTGACTCATTGCATCTCCGTATGACTGTGATCATCACTAGAGGAATAGCACAAAAGTAAAACAATTGATGGAAAAACAGAAGTGTGTGCTGTCCGTCTCATTTCTTGAAAAGTCCATTTCCCATGGATCTCAAATGCCATTTAGCAGTACCAGTTGTGAACAAATAAAAAACAAATGTACATTGACAAAATATTAGTTGTTCATTGTGTGTGCAGATGCACCACCCTCATCATTCTTCAGCAGTTACATTATAAATAAAGATTAAGAGACACAATTTGAGTCAGCGGTGAAATCAGGTCCATCTTCCCATACCACTAGCTCCCATATCCTCGTAAAATCAACCACACCACTGCGGTGCAGGTTTTTAAATGTCTGCAAGGTATGTTCAAATGTACAAAATATGTGTTAACAAATCACAATAGAACGTAAGATATGTTCAAACAAAGATTATTTCACTGGCTGGGATGTTTGACAATGTCCTTCAGGACCAGTAGAAATCTTGTAATTTAAAACGGGTAAACCATAACACATCAATTTACTCACCAAAGGTTATTCTTCCAGCACCAGATTATAGAAAGAAATAGATCTTGAAGTAAAAAACACAACAGTGTCCTGCATGAATGTGTGAGTCCTATTGTCCTTACATGTCCTTGTATTGTAAAGGCGGTGGGAGATAGCAGGAAGACTCTGCCTGGAAGAGGCAGAGATAGGGTGACTTCCCCCAGAGAATATCAGAGAACATTACTGCATCCCTCAGTGCTTAAAAGGATCTGTTATTGACCATCATGCCAAGACAGCAAAAAAATACCACAAAGTAATCAGCGAGTACCCGTGTATTATCTGACAGGAACACATTTGTTTCATGAGGAGCTAATTAGAGAGCAGTTTAACTGTGGCATATGCTATATAGAGTCTTTCAAATTCATTTTAAGGTTATCCTCTGAGGCACTTAGCTGGAAAGAAATAGCCATCAAGACCTTAAACAAATTCAATTTAAAAATAACATAAATGTACAACTTACCCTTTTGAAATGCTACTATTCTTAGTAAGGTTGGTGCATGATATTTTCTTAAGCGAGTTTCCTTTTTTTAATCGCTGATTTGCTTCCTGTGTGTCTTATGCGCCTCCAGTAGTTTCACTGACATGGGTGTGTGAGTGTGTGTGTGTGTGTGTTCATGCTGCTGTGGTCCTGTGACTGTGTGGTTGCAGAGATTATGCTTTCTAGCGTCTGCTATACATCTGCAGTCATACAGTCATTTCCTTTCTTATTATAACTTCCTTTTTCACAGCTAGGCCAAGGCACTATACAGGCAATAATAGACTCCATTTTGAGAGTTTGAGCTGTTTTGCTTCCATTACATGGAAAGTAACTAAGTACATTTACTCAAGTACACATTTTTAGATACTTGTACTTAACTTGAGTATTTCCATTTTATGCTACTTTGTACCCCACAACAATTCAAAGGTGAATTGTGTACTTTTACTCCACTACATTAATTGAATTCCTTTAGTTACTTTGCAGATTTGGATTAATGATTTGAAATACAATAAACACTTGACTTAAATTACACCTGGAGTAAATTTACAAGCTACACTGCAGTATACAAAGTCATTGAAACTAGCTGCACCTTTACCAGTGTACCATTAATACAACTTGTTACATTATAAATAATCTTAGTACAAGTAATAAGCTGGGGAGGTTTCATCTTTTTTGTACTCTATTTACAGGCAGTGTCTTGCAGAATGTATGGAATACATAAACCTCCATTTCAGTATCACTTACATACAACAATATTTAAAGTGACATGTGTTCTGAAGGTTTAAAGAGGGGTTTACTTTTATATCATTCTCAGCATGATTGATATCTCTTTTCTTCCTTAAAACATGGCTATAATTGGGTTTTTTAATTGGTTGTTTACATTTTTTCTCTGATTTATGGAGATACACAAAAGATATCCTTAATTCCCTATGTAAAAACCTGAGTCTTATGTCAACAAAACAGACATCAATTTTGAGCCTGGCTTTATCCAATTTTCAGATTTATTGTTCTTATGTATTAAAATAAGCACATTAATTATTGTGATATCTATTAGAAAAGTGGTTCTCCCTTAAACAGGAGACAGGCACAGGATGGCTTGAGCATTTGTTGGTACCAGACCAACTCTACACTTTATATAAGATGATATATGATTGATATCGTACAGCCTGGTGCTTTCAAGGTTGATCTTGCTTTTCGATAACAAATACTATCTGTACAGATCAAACTAAATATGTCCTCCTTGATTCTTACTACGCTGAAGAATCAAATAATCAAATAACAAGCATCCAAGTGCCAACAGAGGACTGACGAAAATAACAACGGTTTATAAAATCCACATAAAAGGGACAAAATGCAAGGACATTAACCCACTTAGTGAGTAGCAGAAGTAAAACATTGAAGATAAAGACTTTAAATGAAGAAACAGCCAAGGAAGAACCGTAATCATAAATCTAAATCCAGACCTTGTTAGATAAAAGTGAGCGACAGTGAATGAGCAGCCTTCAGAGGAATGATTAGAAAACCTTATCGTAAGACCATTAAGCTTTCTGGGGGGAAAAAAATCCTACAGTATTATTCACTTTAGTAGGCCCCATAGAATGATATGAGAGCCTAATTCTAAGCCAAGGGTTCTTCTTAAAGATGCCCTAAATATAAACACTGGCCCTTTAAAAGAAGCAGTTCACACTCAAACAAATAGATCTTATAATAGATCATACATCTGTTGTTTTCAAAGCATTCCAGCGGTGCTGTGATTTCAATCTACCTCACACTTCATAACACCTTTCAGCAACATGGAGGGAAAGAGAATGAACTCGTTGCTTTCAACTGTTACTGCAGCTGCGCTAATGCAGAAAGCAAGGAGTGAAAACCAAGTGATAACACAATGTGTTTTTTTAATTCTTTGCACACAGTTCTACATAGGTAGCTGTCTTTGAATACATTTGCTCTTTAACATTAGTTTTTTTCTAATGAATGATGAGCATCTTTGCAACGGACTTATGTTTTAAAATCCTTATCAGACATCATGTTATCTGAAACACTGCTTATTAGACCCAGAAATGACAGGTAATGGAATTAAATTCAATGTTGAAAGGAGATTTTAGCTGCATTCAAGAAGCAGTTGGTATGAGCCAGCATGTATCATTTGGTAGCTTCGATCTTTGATTCCTAAAAGTCTAAAAACCTCACAGAACAATACAAGCTGGAAAATTCTTAAGGCTTTGGAATCTTCCCAGATTTTGCTTTTAGATTCAGAGCAAAATATGTTGTACCATTTCAGTTTTCCTGATTTTTACCAAACGAGCGATTAAATAAGTAACCTATAATGTTCACTTGATTATGTATGCGTCTCTCATGAGGTCACAGAGGACCATGGCTACGCCGACAGCAGAGTCTGCGTTTTGTCCGTACACCACCGGTTGAGGAAACGCCTTCTCCACCTCCTGCCTCAGCACCTCATTGCGGGCAATGGCGCTCCCACTGCCCACAATCCGGCAGACCCCCGCCTGCTGCAGACGCTCAGCAGGCAACATTGACGTGATGTTGTGTAGAACTCCGCGGCACAGCGACCTGGTCACGTGACCCAGAGACAGATTGGTAGGGGAGATGTTGGTGACCTGGCCCAGGCAGAGGGGGTCGTGCCTCTCCCCCAAGAGAGTGGGACTCACCGACAGCTCGCTCGTTTCCTGATTCAGGGCGCAATTAATCAGCTTCTCATATAAACAGGAATCACTCATCTCTGCACCTGCGAGGGAAGAGGAGGAGCTGTTTAACATTTGGATTAAACACTTAAATGGCAATAATCTCAAAGACATTTTGGTAAAGGTTTACAGAAAACTGCCCTCTTTGGGCTGTCATTGACATTTGATTCAATTTATCATATTGTATTTGTTATTTCAAAGATTAGAGTGGCAATAAACAACCCCCATAGCGTTTCCAAGTTGTAATATTGTAAGTGCCACTGTTGCAAAGACAACTGAAACGTGGTTGTCGGATTCAGTCACTCAGAATAAATTGCATGCTAATAAAAACGCAATGGCATGGCAATCTGCAAATGACCGCATGACGTTATCTGGAGACCTTTGGAGCTTCTAGCTACGTTTATTAGAAACTAGTTGGCAACACTGCACAGCACATTGTTTTTCGTAGCTTTATGCCATAAATGGACAACTCATTTTCCCAGGAGATTTTACCCTGTGGCAGACATACTTTGTTCTTCCTTGTGAAAGCGAGTATTATAGGGAAGCAATCCAAACACTGTTGATTTCATTATTCTATAGCCATTACAATGTGCAATGAACTAGCGAGGCTTGTGGCGCAGTGGTATAGTGCGTTGGTGTTTGGATCAGGGGAGCACAGGTTCAAACCCCACTGCAGTCAACCTGTCGTTGTGTCCCTGGGCAAGACACTTCCCCCCAAAATTGCTCCTGTGGGGATTGTCCACCGTATTGAGTATGTAAGTCGCTTTGGATAAAAGCGTCTAACAAGTAACATGTAATGTAACTTTACTTGATAATGGTAAGTTAAAACAATTGCCACATTTAATTTGACTAAGTCTGAAGATTCTACAGCTATGCTAGCAACTCTATGAAGCTGTATTACACAGCACTGCTTTGAGACAAATGGTGACGTTAGCATGCTAACATACAGATTATTACAATGGTCAGCATTTTAGCTTTGCAAATGTGTAAATAAGCATTAGCTAATTAGCACAAAATCCAAACATAAACAACATTTCCACTTGATTTTTGTGCCAGAGGAAAAGTGGAAAGATAATTGATGGAAAAACAGAAGTGTGTGCTGTCCGTCTCATTTTTTGAAAAGTCCATTTCTTATTATCTTATTATCATGATTCATTCTGGAACATGAATGTGTGGAAACCACTTAACACCCACATCATTGTGACGCTAGAGTAAGGAGGATCATCAGGGTCATTGGGCTTTTATTTTTTTAAGGTTTAACATGGCAATCCCTCCATAGTCGTGAAATGTTAGTTGAATTGAAAAGTTGAACAAACACTGCCGCCTAAGAAGCACACTACTAGCATGACAACAAATACATACCAAGCTCTTTCATCCAGGAAGTGAGCATCTCCACAAATGTAGCCAGTACATTCCCTCCATTTAGTGAAGCTGCCACCGCCAAGTACGAGTCCTCGAAGTAGGGAACGTAGGAGATGGAGGACGCAGGCTGAGGAGAATCTGGAGGTTTGAAGTCAGCTGGCAAGGCGAAGGTCAGCTGGGCTGAGGTGCTTATGTTAAGAACTGAGAAATTAGGAGAGGATAAAAACTGTCATCTGAGGCATAAACACTAACAGCTCCAAACAAGACATGCAGGAGACACAGACAGCAGGAATACACTTGATCCATAATGCATTCATTCCTGTGTGTGCAACATAAAGAGTACAAACTAAGACGTGGGTATTTGCTGCTATGTCCCGTGTTAAGTCATTCCTATGCTTATTTATTTGGTATTTTTCAATTTTAATACAGTATATTAACACATCTCTATGAGGGATTTTCCAATGGGACACACAGACTCACAAGCTAATAAACAATGCCACCACCGCTGTTGCAACTGGTAACAACAAAGAGTCACAAAACTACAAACACGTGCAAAGCAACTGCAAAGAGACCACAAAAGATACACACAATGACAATGAAAAGGGGCCAAACAACCACAAAAATAAAGAAAATAACTACAGTAGGATGACACACTAAAACAAAAGCACTACAAAGATTAGAAGATGAATCTAATTGATGCAACATGTCATGGAACAGCTGTAATGGATAGACTTTGTTATGAAGTGCAAGAACTTTCTTCTGAAGTGCATAAACAGTCGAGTACAGCTATTTTCACCTGCGTCTGTTCTGGCACTCATGCAGGAGTATACCGAGCACTGGAAGTCTCCAAGGGCGGCCCCTACTGGTGTTCCAGCAGGGATACCATGCCAGTCAGAGCACGTCTGTGCCGCCCAGCCACCAGATGGCACACACTGAGGAAGCAGGCCCAAAGGGAAGCCGGCCCCCTTCAGACTGCAGCATGCACACACAGAGGCTTGTAATGTAGGTTAAGCATAACAACTCTTTACAATGCCAAAATGTTTAGCAATTTTAGTTGAACACTAAGCATGCAAAACCTTTAGAAAATGTGTCATGCATGTAGATTTACACTTTACGTACATGTCTGTATTCCACTGGTTGGTAGAGGTGTTGAAGTAGCCCCAGCTGGCTGCATTCTGGGGCGTCATCACACAGCCGTCCAGACCACACAGCATGGACACCACGTAGTCCTGGATGGTACCTGCAACTGTGAAGTCCTCGAGGAACTCTGGCCTGCAGTAAAACCAAACATATTAACTTCAGTTTCATATCACTAAATAAAAATGCTTTGGGATGTTTTCAGAAGTGCATGCTGACCTGTTTCTCATGTACCAGAAGATTGTTGCACAGCCAAAGCCTGTGGCCACGCTGAGATGTGAGTCTGGATTTGGAAGTGAGGACAGGAAGTTGCTGCTACAGCGCCCATCCTGCCAGGTGATCAGCTGACTGGTGTCTCTGGCTGTGAAGAAATCCCTCTTGGACCAATTACAACCTGCAGTGGGAGAGAGGCATGGAGACATCCCAGGAGCATAGATTTACTATTACAAACTGATTTTCTCCCTTTTGGATTTGTTGGATACTTTTGGTTAGACTAATTAAGAAAGTATGTCTCTTTGTGTATAAGGATGTATTGTTTTATATTAATAAAATAAATGCCACAGCACATATTTATATACCAAATAATATGTGATAAGATTAAAAGACCTTAATGTGCAATTACAAATTGTGCAAATGCAAACATATATGGGCAATAACATTGCAGGATATACATCTGTATATCTGTTCCTTTGCTGCCCAAGTACTCATGTATTACAGCAGTTGTTTCACAATTGACCACAATTTAAGAAATGCAACAGCGTTCACGCAGCACCCAGGTAGAAGGCTTACCGCGTTTTGCTTTCCAGAATAAAACCCCGTGCATCTGTCCGGACAGCCCGATGCTGCTGACATGCTGCAGTTTGTCTCGGGGCAGCAGGCCGATGCACCGGTTCACAGTGTCAATGATCCGGCCAGTGTCCTGCTCTTTCGCCTGCGCATGAACACGTACAGTACGCAGCCAGGTTACACACGGGGCAAACACCCAGCAGGGGAGAGTTGAATGGTTAAGTTGTGTGTGTGCACACCAGACTGTAGGCTATAAGGTGCATACTCACCTTTTTCCCGCTTTGGTCAATTATATCAGACGAAGTTGGCAAAGACTGACTAGCAACCACCGTTCTGGAGACAGTTTCTAATAAAACGGCTTTTACCGACGTGGTGCCCAAGTCCAAACCCAGGATATATGCAGACATTGCAGTTAATGAAACTACTGTTGATGATACAGTTATACATCATCATCACAACAAGGCAAAGTCTACTCTGCTGCATTTGGGACAAAGTAGAAAGTCGGAAATCTTAACTTACGGCCAACCGAATTGTTCCATCCAAATGTAAAAGAAGTCATATAATGCCTTTTCCGAAAGAAACAGTACTGCAGATTGTTCAGGTGGACCCATTGATTGATTCCTGAACCAGTAAAATAACTTTTTGACAGAAATAGACATAATAAATAATAGCACCGGTAACCTCAATGTAAACTGTTTGTGTTTCATTTGTAGATGTTCTCTGATTACTGCAGCTTGTGAAACATGTGGTGTATATCCAATAGAGCTGGATGTTTAAAAAGGGCGGATTATCTTTGTATGCTCACCCAATGACAGTAAGCCTAAAGGTATTTCCCTATTATTAAAGTTAGAATTTCCTACTCTTTAATGTGCAAAGAAACGCACCAAAACTGCTCGTTACGCAGGCTGTGCCCACAATGCATTTCGAATGAACATGGCTGACTCTTGCCTGGGAGTGCTATCCGAATGAGAATGAATGTGCTTTTTCTGTGCCAAAACAGCCGACATTCTCTGAAAACGCTCTAATATCCAGGTCTTTGGCGTTCATGACACATATTATGTTTTTATAATCGTGAGGAGCCAACGAGTCCCTGCTTACATTTCCGGTGAGAATCATCAGTTTCCGTCAGCAGCAGCCCGGAGGACTAGCTCATAATGCTAGCGTGTTAGCGCTATAGGCTAACACCAGGGGTCGTACAGTGCTACGTTTAGTTTATTTATAAGACTCTGATTATTGGAGTCACTTCCTTTTTGTCTGCGTCTGGTTTCTGTCACCAGATCATCGCTTTATATTATAGGTTTATTAGCTAACGTTAGCTACTTTGATTCAATTTGATCTGTAACCAGCTAGGCTAACATCGATCAAGGCTGACAGCTTTTCTCTTTGTCACTCGTATTAGGGGGCTTTAATTTATTAAGATCTCTGTCGAGTTTTGTCATTTTGTCATCCAACCTCATAGTGGATGTTAAAATATTAAATTCATACTTTAAATTACTGATATCTGTACACATTAGAATATATAATGTAACAATGGCCTTGCATTTAGTTGGAGTTTAATTGAGTAGAAATGGAAAAGGCATTTATCTTATTTAAACAAATAAAAGGACCGTGTAAAAAATACTACAAGTCAAAGTCATTGTCTAATGTTAATAATTAAAGCTAATGTAGTTATTAAGCAGCAGACTGACATTAGATCATTCATTACATTAAATTGGTCAACTAATCATCAAACAATCTAATATTAGCCTAATCCTTCTAATGGGATTATGTTTAAAAGCAAAACTAGACATTAAAGGACATCATCTTGGAATTTAGAAACGTTGACAGTTGTTACTATGTTCTGACATATTGATATTATATATATATATATATATATTAGACTAAGCAATTTACCAATTATAATCTAGATAATAAGCAGCAGATTAATCGATAATACAAAATAATTGTAATCTTCACCCTACATTGTATTATAATGGCTGATTCAGTCGTGTGTAAGCAGCCTTTTCTTCTGGTCGAGCTGATTTTAACATTAGCATTAGGTTGATCAGTTACAACCTATTGCATTTGTTTGTCTCCTAGGTTTTGGGTATCAAATCTCGATCTTCAGTGTAAAGAAAAAAGTTATTTAAAACTGTACAGCATTACAGTTATTGGATAAATGTGCCTATTTCTTATGTGTGAATCTCTCCTGAAACAGGAACACCTTCCTGTGATTGCTGACCAGATCCAAGATGGCAGGAGTTGTAGCCAAAAGAGAGGGACCACAGTTCATCAGCGAGATAGCCGTGAGGGGAAACGCCGCCGTGCTGGACTACTGCCGCACCTCAGTCTCCGCTCTGTCCGGAGCAACAGCGGGAATCCTCGGGCTGTCTGGACTGTATGGCTTCATTTTTTATTTCCTCGCCTCTTTTCTCCTCTCTCTGCTGCTCATTCTCAAGGCCGGACGCCGGTGGAACAAATGTTTTAAATCACGGAGGCTTCTCTTCACCGGGGGCCTTGTTGGAGGTCTTTTCACTTACGTCCTGTTCTGGACTTTCCTCTACGGAATGGTGCATGTGTACTAAAATTATTTAACCGTGAATTAGTCCTATCTAATGCTACATAAACTAATAATATTGTCTGCCATGCTGTTTGTAGATAAGCCATTAGTAAAATACTTTTTCAAATATGAACTGTTGATTAAACGGCTAATGTGTCAATTATAATAGAATGAAGAATACTGTTCTCTTATCTTTCTGCTCCACAATTTGTAGCGACTTTATCCAAGATGTAACTCGTGCTCTTCACTACAGATAAGAGCCACAATCATGATAATGTAGTTTGTAGTGTAACAGATCATAAAAGATTACACCCTAACACGGTGTAAGCACTTTGCATTGTATTCATGTATGATACTATGGTTAAATATGATTACTGATTAAAATAAATACCTCTTTACATCTTGTTTGTATACATTATTAATCGGTTTGTCTGTCAGGCACTGACATCATGAAATAAATATGACAAATACACTTGTTTCCAACATTCAAGACCATTCTATAAATAGATTTGAGAATAAGGTCACATTTCCAATGTCTTTCATCATTCATTTGACAATCAGCCAGTATATCAGCATTGAACCTGTCCATTACAGAACACTCAGCCCATCACAACTTCATTCCAAAGCTTTACAAGTGATATCTATCAATAACTAAAATAATGATTGTGTTGTAGCTACGGCATGGCCAATATTAACGTCAACATACAACATGAAGTGCACCACTCAAATTCCTGTCGCAACAGCACATGTTGCATCCAACTGAAATAACACAAATTAAGAACATTCACACGCTTTCTAGTGCATTTTCTCTGCTTACAAAATAATTTAAAGGTATTTTGCAAATTGATTTAGTACAAATCATTTCACGGTTTGTTTGAATCGAATCGGCATTTAACGTAATCCTATGCTACATTTGAGGTTCATGAATCACGAATGACGTTAGTCTTTTTCGCGGTGATTGTTATTGGCAAGTCTATTAATGGCGAATCAAAAAGAACAAACTGGAAATGATGCTTGATCATCTGCCAAAAAGAGCTTTTAAGTAATGGATTCATGACCTGAAACAAAGATGCAATTAATAACTTCCATTTGTAATCAGTAATAGGCAAATATTTGGCAATTCCTTTTAGGTCTTAGATGATTAATTTAATGTCCCTCTGTTAATATTATCAGCATAACCACAGCACTCTGGCATATCATCATTTATGGACCTGTTGTAATCTCCCACACTCCAGCTTTGGACCCTGACCCAGCCTCAAAGATGAAAACCATCTCTCTGTGTATTTCTACATCAGCTTCCTGGCCCATGTGTCCACAATAACATTTCTTTGGACCAACAAAGTCAGGACAAGCATCACTCAGGCTAGTGACAGTCCAGCCAGGTGGGAAGTGGGCATCAGTCCGACTCTTTGGTTACGCCTCTCACAGACCGCTGCAGGGGATTGGTCTTACTCTGACTTAATTTTGCGCAGAGAAGGTGATATGATGCCGCGGCCCTGTGCCTTGGTTAGAGAGGTTGCCAGAATATCGCTGTCCTGCGTTGCGTGGAACTGTTGGACCCCGTTGGTCCACAGGCAGCTGACTCTCTGCGAGGGCTTCCGTCTCCTCCGGCTTATTGGTGGAGTTTCCAGCCTCTTTGTCCGCAGCTGGCTTCTTATGTCTCCTTTCCCGGTTTCCTGTCTTCCCTTGCTTGTTCTGCTCTTTCCTGTAACACACAGTGACACACAGATGTGCCAATAAATGTGAGGATAAAGGTTTTGGAAATGACTGATTTAAAAAAGGTCCATCATTAAGGTGTACAGAAAGTCATACTTTAAGTTGATGATTTCAAACTTCTTGTCTCGGTAGAAGGAGCTTGTGTTCATCATGTACAGTAGTATCATGTCACATGCAAAGGACCCCTGAAAGAGAAAATATATATTATATATAATATCTGTAGCACTCAGTCCATAATGTGTCAAAAACATAACTAATAATGCATTATAATCTGCTTATATTGCTGTATAATTAAAAGGTATAATGCCTCATAAATATTCATGGTGCTTAAAACAATAAAACAATATTTATAAATTAAAAAGCATTTGACATAAAGTCAAGTATCATAATGCTTCAATGTTGCTGTTCACTCACTGACATTGTTTGTCTCAAGGACAATAGATATTATAGGTTGATAGATGTAATACATAATACTTTTTATAAAATCCTCATCACCGCTTTAGCGCATAATCATGTGATTATTCTGGTAGCTGGTTGGTTAAAGTGAAGTAATGAAATGTCTGGTAAATATAAATATAATAAATAAATAAATACATTAGCTGGTTATAAGTAACTGTAAGTGGTCATTCTTTCACTTAAAAACACATGCAATTCAATATGTTGTAATACCTTTTTCTTCTTTAACTTGTCATAACAAGAAAAATGTGCAAGTAACTATAATAAAACAGTGGCAATTACCCACCGACACCTCAATATTATTTAATAATAATTGTATAATATTGTATTAAACTACTCACTGCACCCAGCAGGGCAATGCCCGAAGCAATGGCAATTATCGTGGGAACAATATTGAATTTCCCAGCCTGAAAAAACAATAACAAGCAATCACTGTAGATTTATTTCCATAATAATGTACTTCACTCTGGAAAGAATAATTCCTATCACTGCTGTACCTGGCCATTGATCATTATATCGAAGCGGATCCCATACACTTTATACAAAGTGCGAAAGGTAATGCCATTTTCATCCTTGAAATGCCTGGCATATCTGGAGAGGAAAATCAGACCGGTTAGACTCGGAGACCAGTGAGCTGACAGATTTATTTCTTGGTGAATGCCTGGAGGGACATACCTGAAGTTATATCCTGATGTGACCGAGTTGTTTAAACCCCTATCCAGGCGGGTAAAGCTGTACTCTGGATTACACCGTGAAGAGTCCTTATCCAGGTTGCAGTCCCACTCAATGAGAATTCCAACAGAACCACCCTGAAGGACAAAAATAGTGTAAGTGTAACCTCAGCTCCATTAACAGGTCTATAATAAAGTGTGTAGCCAAAATAAAGACACAAATGTAATGGAAACCAATTCAAACCATGTTCTGATCGCAGGGCTTTTTGAGTCCTGGCTTCAAAATTGTACTTCCTACCATTTTCTTATGTTTGCAGGTGAGTGAGGAAGCTGTAAATTCAAAACAAGCGGCACACAACCATACAGTCTGCAGAAGTGGTCTGATCAGATAGCATACGTTTGTGGACTATCGTTGTGTCTTAGGAAATGCTTTAAGATAAATGCTAGCCTGAAAGTTCATTCTTGACTGGAAAATACAGCTTGAAAATAAAAACGTATCATATGGTCCACTTGTTGTTGTTTTTTTAAAGCTTTCAGCCATTTCCGTTGGCCTTGTTTTAGTTGGTTTTTCATCTGGTACTAAGGATGGGTTCCAATCTGTCCGACGGACCTTTGGTGCATGTTGTCCCCTCTTTCTCCCCTTCTCCTGTCTAACTTAAGCTGCAACAGTAAAGGCAAGAAAGCCCCCCAAAAGGAAAGGAAATTATTGTTTAGTTCTTATCATGTGAATGAATTATTGAACTTGTATTTATTTTTTTATACAGCCACTTTGAATCAATTGACACATTTTGTAATTTACATGTCACGTGATGACAACACACCATCTCTCTAAAGACTTGATGAAGACCATGTGCCTGAAAGTTTGTCTAATAGATGATCTTTTTTTTTACTCTTTCTGAACAACCATTGTGATTTCCAATGAACCTGTGCAAACCTCCGACCTAGGCTGCCTGTAGGAGCCATGTATATTTCTATTTTTGAACACTAGGTGAAAGTGATTAGCTGCACAAGCAAAAATGGGGTCATAGGTGACTGGAAAGGGAGAGGCTGAGAGAGCACACAGTTCTTATTTGACATGGCAACAGATGTGGCAGAAGTACAGACAACCCAACAACACAGGCAACACTTGGAAATTGGTATTGTACAACTACCGCAATTAACCTCAAACTAACCTGCAGCTGTCGACCAGAAAATCTTTTGGGTTAGTCTGTGTACGATCAATCTCATCATTCTCCTATGTAATAATCGCAAACGGGAAATAGGGCATTGGAACACCTAATTGCCATTACACTGTAATGTGGTCTCTTGAGAATAAATTATGCAGAAATCAATTTTAGACAAACAACAATTCTCTTCACAACAGTGTAAATGGCACTCCTATGTTCCATTAGAGATTTACTCCAAGACCACATAAAAAAATATGTTGCATCGCAAGCAGACCACAATCTTAGAAATCCTTTCAAATTACCATTAGTTATTGGAAAATTGTTTGTCTTTGGATATCAACAGGAAGTACTGAGAGATAGAGAGAATGACTTGAGTGACATAATTAGCTTGCAACACGCTGATAAAAATTTGTTTTCATCTTGTACTATATTCATTTTCTTACTACCCTTATCATTACATCAATATATGTTTTGTTTGTTGCAGCACACGTCTTGTACAAGTGTGTTTCTGCAGTTATTATTATGAGGAGCATCTTAAATGGATTATATCTCCTAAATCGGATGGTCTATAATGGTGTGTTATCAAATGACTATGAGGAATCCAGTAATTGAAATCACTCCCACACAGTTTTATCTCACACGTTAATACACTTTGTACCTGAACAGCCATTTCCTGGAAATTATTCCCAGTCCAGCTGACCAGATCTCCGAGGCGGAAGATGGGGCAGTACAGGTGTTCCTCTTTGTCGTAGGAGCATCTTTTCAGGTAGCTGTCGTCAGGGGTTTCAAGGACATTGCACCTAGATGTTCAATATAGCAGGCATAAAGAACTTGTATCAAATGTCAGATTAACAGCAACTGTGAAAACCACTACTATTTCCACATGAATCGTGTTTCCCTCACCCTTAGAAAAAAATGTAACCTTCCACTCAAGTTAAAAAATGTAAGTCACTTAAGTTGGAGTTATCATGTGTATCTAAGAGTTGGCGGGACGGCAATAGACTTAAGAGCCACCTGCTCCTGTCAATTCAGGGTCACAGAATTCTCTCAACTTCTCATATTGGCATATTTGACATTTCCATCTCTATCTTAGACACAATCAATGCTAAAAGATATAGTTCAGATGTTTCAAAGTGGGGTATCATAGTCAGTGAATTAACTAGAGTAGATGGTAGTTGGTAAATAACCAGTTTGGAGAACAGACAGGAGTGCAAAGCAATGTAATGCTATGAAAGCAAAATTATCTTAGCCGTATAAATAAAGCAGGACCTTTACCTCTGTGCTGGTTATGGGCGGGCCAACCTCCATCTAGTGTTAATACACTGACTAAAGATCAACATCTTAACTTTTACCATGACTGACTGCACTGTAAAATGTTCCTCCTAACACAGTATG